TTGTCAAGTCGAGAAAATACTGTATTGACCTTCTATTTAATAAAAAAATAAAAAATAAAATTATTACCTGGAACAGCCCTAGTCTCAAGGTTGCCAGATAAGAGAGGGTCAACCTGTATGTTAATAGGTTTCATGCTTCCTCTCGTAAAGAAATGCCCAAAAGGAAAATATCCTGTATATATAAAGCCAATACAAGGTCCAAAAACATGACCATTTCCTGGAATAGCATTAAAAAATTGTAATGTATTTTAAAAATTCAAGTCTGTTTATATGAATACAGAGAAAGGACACAATAAAAAAATACTCTCTTCATATACTAATGAAAAAAATGGTTTGAGTAGCTTCATCCCAGGGACAAGTCTATTAATATTATCCAGGTTAAGCCTTAGCCTCACAACTATCCAAGCATTCTTGCTTCTCTTATTTACTCATAAATATTCTCAATTTAGACTTTAATATATACCTCCCTGAAACACCAGACTTTAGAATATGGGGAAATGATATCTCTGTTCTTTAATCCCAAAAGATGAAGAAATATCATTGGACAGAATACACAGAACAGGATATGGATTAAGGTATACCTCGCTATACATCCGACAAGTGTTCTCAAAAAGTCTGACATTAAATAAAACAATGTATTGTATAGAGTACAAAAGTTTAACATAGACCTAATGATATAAATAGGGATTATGTTCTGGTCAAAAATTTATCAGCAAAATATTAAAATTATATACTGTACCTAAAGTAGATTATTCTAAGTTAAAATAAATATTTATATAATATGTATATCAAGAAAATAACATTTACCAGAATTGATTAAAGAAACTGTGATTAGAGGCTGGCTGGGGTAGAGAGTAGTGGAGTTATTGAGATGAAGCTACAGGATTGCCTGCCTCTTCATCTAAAGATGGACATTTAGAATTATTGGTCTAAAGTTAGCTGGATTGGTTTATTTTTCTTTTGGTTATTTGCTTGTTAACTGTAGAGCTATATTCTCTGATTTGACCACACTCACTGAATATAGCAGGTGGGCCAAGCGCCTAACAGCTTGTTCACCAAAATCAAAATGCCTTAAAATGTGTTATTTAACCTTTAGATCAGGGGTGTCAAACATGCGGCCCGCGACCCGACACACTCTTGTATGCGGCCCGCGACCCATTTGCTGCTTCAGCCTTACCTTGAGGAGCTAAAACTAAATAGTGAGTGTATCCCTAAGCTGAATAAAATAGTCTGCTGTTTCCTAGAACAAAATACTCAATCAACATTACCAATGAAAGAACAATAAGACTAGAGGTGGTTTTAACGCTTAATTGTGGTTGTAAGCGTGCCACTGTACGAATTGTGAGACGGGCCGACTGACTACTGTTCACGTATACACTCCGTACAGTACAGGTATTAGACATGAAAACTCTGACGCGGCAGGCTCTCGCTTGGCCAGTCATTCAAGTACTAGTGTGATTCTGTGTCGAGGAACAAGTTTTCGAGTGTTGATGTTGGCACATTTTATCAATATTTTGGACCAAATTATCCCAGGATTAAATGTTTTGCATCAAAGATTATGTCAATGTTCGGAAGTACATGTGTCTGTGAATAACTCTTTTCTGTGATGAACTTGAACAAGTTTCTGCTTCGGTCTCAACTTACTGATGCGCACCTTAATTCAATACAGTGACCCCTCGTTTAACGAACGCCTCGGTTAACGAACTGCCTTCCATAAGGATCTTCAATTCGGTTAACGAACAAAAATTCGGTTAACGAATTTCTTACGAACCGACCTCAACATGTTTTCGCTTGCACTGACCGGGCAACCAGCTTTAGTATCAGTCCGCCAATACATTAATCGGTTCTAGGGCTTAAATTCCTTACTATTTTAGTAAATATCAAGAAGTTTATACTATTCAATAATTTTAAAAGTTTAATATTCAATTTTTTAGTCATTTTAACAATTATTGAACATAATTGAAGGTAAAGTGACTAGTTTAATGCGCGGCATCCAGCCTCTTAACACAGTAAACAGGCGTTAGTCTCTCTCTGTTTTCACTGGAGGTAACATCTTGCTTGAGACGCTCTTCAACTAAACGCTGTTTTCTGTTTCCAAGTAAATTATTGGTCATTTTAAAATATATTTTACATATTGACAATATATAATGCAGTGCAGTGTTGATTTAAAGAAAATAATCTTGAATTACACCAAGAGAGCTAAAATTTTATGGGTGAAATGGCGCCATGGGGTGACTTCTCTTCCACCCCAATGCCTTCTCTTCTTCCTTCTCCTCCACCCCCATTCTAAATCCCATCATCATCATCATCATCCAGGAGCCTTCTACATACACACCTCAAAGTAAGTTAACTTTTCTACCATTTTTGTTGAATTTAGGAAGTTTTCGGTGAGCTGGAACCAATTACCCAAAAACCCATTGAAACAATGGTTTCGGTTAACGAACTACCTTCTGGAACGGATTGAGTTCGTTAACCGAGGGGTCACTGTACTGAAGGTTGCTACAGCTCAGTCGTTAGTGCCAAACTTTGATGCACTGGTCCATACCAAGAGGTGCCAATTATCAGGAAGCAGCAGTAGCAAACAATAAGATTGATCAAGGTAAGTAAACACTTGATTTGTTTATTTTTAAGGGTTTCGCATGAGCGCAGACTAAATCCAACTTTCTTATTTTGTCGTACTACTCACCTAAGAGGAGATTGCGAAATGCTCATAATTATGTTACTTGGCCCACATACTGTGTACTCATATTAAATCTGGCCCACCTTGGCAAATGAGTTTGACACCCCTGCTTTAGATTAAGACTTTTCCTTGTTTTATTTTTCTCACCAGAGGCACATATATTATTTGCTGGGCATTTTCTACTGATTTTACAGGCTTTTGGTAAGGTTTTACTCAATGTGAACAGATGGGATCAAGTGAATGTGGTGGCAATGCATAACTGATGCTAGGAGGGGATGCAACAGAGGAATTAAAAAGTTGTTCAGAGTTCTAAGGCTATCCAATGTAGTCCACCACTGTTGCAGAATTTTTTTTTTTTTTTTTACAAAAAAACTGGTTTTTTTCTCTAAATTCATTTACAATGTACTATATAAGCAAAACAATGTATAGTGAGGTATACGTGTATAGATAACATCCAACAACAGCCCTAGTAAAACATCATTCTTCCTTTGAGGTGGAAGTTCTACAGTACTGTAGATCAAAATGTGACTTACAAGATACACACAATCTGAAACAGAGAAACATTATTGAACCAAAACCACTAGTCCTCACTTTATAATAAATAAGAACAATTTAATTTACTTTATTTCATGTAATATGAACTGAACTGATGAGCAGTGTGTTCAATTCACTTACTTTCAGCTTAAAACCCTCTAGTACACTACAGTAAGGATTTAACATTAGCTGAAAACTGCATTATCTGATAACAGGCCCAACAAAGTACACCATGTGTACAAGTTGATATATCTGTAAGTAAAAAGTTTGAAGCATCTTGTGATTTTTCCTGCTCTAAGTATAATACTGCACTGTACATATTTATCAAAATACCATATAGAGAGAGAGATTGACTCCTTGATTTTTACATGAGTATCCAAATAATTGGTTTATACTCAAAATTAAGGAAAAACTTAATCCCTCAATGATGTTACAAAGAAAAAGGAAACAATTAAATAAATAAGAGAGATATCTTTGTAATACTCTGGTAAACCTCTAAGTAATACACACAGTGGTAAAGGGGAAGAATGAGCCAACACAGCAAGATGTAGCAGAAGTATGCTGGGAGAACAATAGACCAACACAGTAAGTTGTGGTAGAAGTGTGCAGGGGAAACACCAGCCCAACACAGCAAGTGTGTGGTAGAAGGATATTGGGGAACAGTGGGCCAATATGGTAAATTGTGGTAAAAATATGACTGGGAAACACCAGCCCAACATAAAAAGGGTGTGGTAGAAGGATGCTGGAGAAATAATGGACCAACACAGCAAGGTGTGGTAAAAACGTACACAAGGGCAATTAACTGTAAGGCTGCAAATATAATTGTAAGTTTATAAACACTGAACTAATGTAGTCAAGGTACAGTGCTGCATCAATAACCTGCCATTCATGGAACAGTACATTAGACATATGAGGCATTGCCTAAAGCAAGGGCATAAATGCCAATCTGATGTTTTGAGATATCAGCAATTAAAGAATATGATTGTGTACATGACCTCTGGCATAGATGGAGCGCAAGTGTTCTGCCTTGCGGAGAAAAGCATTCTGCAGTCGCCTGGTTTCCAAGATTCACCGAACACCATTCTGATGTCTGCTTCTCTGATCTTCTCAAAACATTGCCACTTGCAGGTACAAGGAGGCCCCCAAATGATATTGTGTAAGCTATGGGTGTAAGTACATATACCAATCAACGGAGAACTGAAATTAGAAAATGGGAAAACCCTCATTTCAAATTCGTAAATTTGGCACTTATGCCCCTGCTTTAGGCGATGCCACACATTTTCACATTGAGGACACTTTCCATGTTAAAATTTAAAGTGTTGGAGGGCACTTAAAATTCAGAGAAAATCTCCAGTAAGAACTTAAGAGAAATATAGAGAACAATTGTTTCCAGAAGAGAGTTAAGACAATGATACTGTATAAATGATCTAAAGCAAAATAGATGCTACCCATACTTCCAACCTCATAGTTATATACAGAGTATAGTGAAAAATGCTAATGTAAAAAAGTAAGAAAATCAAATCAAAATTTATTAATAATAATAATAATTGAAATGAAAATGTACCAGCCTTATAATCTATTAAACCATTTATTACATTCATATTAGTGACCAATACAAAGTTTCCACCAACATTTTATTCTTGGGCAAGACATAATTCATTTATTACTGTTTAAAGTATTTCATAAATCTTCTGCAAATTGATTTTTATGTTACACACGTGAAGCTCATTATTGTAATAAAATTTCTTAATGGTATATGATGATTACTTTAATGATACGCTGTACAGTATTAGTTAATTTTATTAAACAATGGAATGTGCTTCAACTAAAACTGTGTAACAAACTTATGGGCAAAAGTTAAATGATTTGTAACTTTTGCAAAACCTGTTATACCTTAACCAGCAGTCTCCAGTTCTACTTACCAATATAAGCTTATTATTTAAAGTGTTTTTAATGAATTAATCTGAAATAAGAACTTTAAAGCAAATTCTATGACAACTTCCTAAAACTGGCTTTGTCTCTAACAAATCAAATACAGTATATTTGTTTAATGACTGCTCACATAATTACTCCTATATAGTTACTGAACTAAGAACTAAACCTTTAGTCTGACATTTCAAAGAAAAAAAAATAATCATCTGCAATAGAAGAAAAGTCAAGAGCAAATCCTGGACACCAATGCACAAAAACATCACACATTTTTCGATGCAGGACTAGAAAATTACCACATTATAGTCACAAACAGTTACTGTACACTAACCACGGTAGATGAAGAAAAAATACTGTACTATAAATATTTACTCGAGGTTAAGCGTAACCCTCACATTTACCCCATCAGGTGACACGGATGTTACTTTTTCCAAATACTGTACCCTGTACTGCAAGTGAATTTGCCCCCACACAACTTACCTGCTAACACACTGAAATGCATACAGACTTTGTTGCATGACTCCTCTCATATTTAATTACTTAACAGAAAACTATATTAATGATAAAATCAGATTTCAATCACTTTGGCATTCTTCCTAAAATAATTAAAAAAATAACGTAACTGGAGAAGTGTAAATCTTCTTGCAAACAACACTAACACAGCCCTTCCTCCTTTTAACTTTGTACAAAACATCAAGAGCGTAGAGCATATACTGTACAACACAGCAAGTAACTATGGAGGAATAGTGGCCCCTGCATCATAGTTCATCAAATCTTCAAATCTTGGCTTTGGTTTTTTCTTCCTAGAACCATGCCGTTTCTCACATATTTCACTCTTATCACCCTTACTTGGAATTGAAGTTTCCTCTGATCCACTCTTCAAATCTGCTTGTGACTTCTCTAATTCTTGTGAAAATCTAAGACGTTTAGCCTGTGTTTTTGTGGACACTTGGGTTATGTCATCTGAGGTTTTGGAAAAAGGCAGAGAACTTTTTTTAGAGACTTTCTTTGGCTGCCGGTTTTTACCCTTTTTACGGACAAAATTTTTCAAGGTGCTCCCCTTATCTTCTGCATCCAAATGTTTACTTCTAGCATACCGAGAGAGAGATTTTCTTTTCAAGGAGGAATCTGGCAACTTATCTGTCGGCATTACTGGTATATGTGAGGCTGCAGCATCATTTTCATTTTCTTTACTATGGTTCTTCCTAACTCGCAGTGAAGTTCCCATGGTCAAAGGGTTGTTTTCTAAATCCATTTGTGGAGACTTGGTATCTTTTATCATCTTATGCAACTTGCCTTGTTGTCTTCTTGTGATCTTTTGTTTTTCTAAAAATTTCTCATCATTTTTGTGGTCAGAATCTTTAATTGAACTTTCCCCTTTTTTATAACTAAGTTTTTTAAAGGAATGGTCATTGGGAGTTGTATGTACAATCACTTCCGATGAAGACTGTGTCACTCCTACAGGAGGATTATCGGGAATACTGCTTGTTTTACTCTGTGATGTTTCATTAGAAAAATCTTCTACACTCTTACTATCAATACTAGCTGGGTGCTGCTGATCAACCAAAATTTCATCTTTCTTACCTTCAAAACAAACTCTCACCAATTTCCTATTATCTTCCATCAATTCATTATTGCGCTTCTTCATCTCTTGAAGTTGTTTTTCCAAATCTTTCATTTTATTGACTAACATGCTTGATATCTGCAGAGATTCACTTTCTTTGGCATCATCAACACTGGGACGATCTAGGTCTTCTAGGTTAATATCCTGTTTCACTTGTGTGAGGAGCTGCTCATCTTTTCTTGTAGTAGTAGTTTCTTCACACTCTGACTCAATACTACCAACACTCCTGGTATTCCTTTTACTTCTAGATACTTCCCTTACACCATTATGTAACTTCTCTTCAAAACTATCAACATTAATTATATTTCCTTCTATGGTTTTATTTTGGGTACTCTTAGCATTTTTTCTATTCAAAACTGGAGTTCTAGTATTTTCTAACTTAACTTTTTCTTTTTGATGAACCAGTGAATTTTTCTTCTTTTGCAGCATACTTGGAGAACTATCTATTGCCTCTGAAGTTTTACATGAAACATTTTCCACACTAGTGCCACACAGGTTTGAAGAGCTCTCAGCTGACGTGGCTGCAGTTTTGTGAGAACAAATTTCCTCGCTATCCCCATGCATGGGAACACCACCAGGTGATGTAAGAGCATGTTTATGATGATAATTTTTATTGCTGTTGTTTTGTTCAGATATGCCACTTTCTGACAAAGTGAGGGGCCTTTTACGAGGCCTGCCTCTTTTCCTCTTGATATTGCCAATAATATTAGACCCACACATTCCTAGTCCATCAGTTTTATTTTCCTGTACAGATAAATACTTACTGCCATTTTCAACTTTAATTTTGGACCTCACAGGGGATCCACTCATACAATATTTTTTCCTCCCTATTCTCTGTCGCTCTGGTGTATTCAAACTGTTGCTAGATTCTAAGTGAGAGATTAATTCACATTTAAGTTTATGCATATCTTGAGGGTATTTCTCTAAATGACTGTGCAATGGACCTGCACAAGAAGTTACAAGATTATCTAGTTGTTCTTTCTGCAAAGGAATTGGTGATAATTGCCTCAACCAGTCTCCAACAATACGAATGTTTTCTCCTAACATCCGTGACACTCTCCATAGTGCATACAGAACCCCATTGCTAAACTGCTTCATTGATAGAGGTTTAGCAGTCCCTTTCATCAGGTCATCAAGGTTTACATATGTTAAAAAGTCTTCCCAGCTTAGCTTATCTCCATCATCCCATTCCCTCTCCACACAGTTTAACTGATCACCTCTGTGATTCTGGTGAAAATTACTTGATTTTATATTAAGTGTGTTCATTTCAGTCGGTGTATTGGTTGTGGAAAGTGTTGTCCCATGGGAATGATTATCTAAAATGAAAACCTCTGGTGGGATGGCAGCACTCAACCTGTCTTCTGTAAATATGTCTGAAGACTTTGTTACACTCAGAAGAAAGGAGGCTAAATTACTCAAACAAGGACGGAGCCCTTCATCATACATTTTAGATGGCATTAATCTAATTAGCCATGCTGCTAAGTCCCCTATGCTTGCCCCTGTTTGTATTCTCAAGTCATTGAGTACTAACAACAACCACACTGAGTAATCCTCCATATCAAGAGGCTGTCGATGGCATCTGGCAACAATGTCATCAATACTGAAGCTTTGTATCACTGGTAAAATCTTCTGCAACAGCTGACCTGCATCTTCCTGCAAGATATAGAGAATTAAAATTAATATGTATAAGCATGCAGAGGATCGAACACAAATTGGGTCTACCTCCTACCACTGTCCGTTTCATGATTAAAATATGGGCTAAAATAAAAAAGATGGCTAAGTAATGTTCAACGAATATCAAGCAATATATTGTAAAAGTAATGACTTGTTCACTTTGCTTGAATGTTCTAAAGTACAGAGGCAACAACTTAGACTGCAACCCCCTGAACACATTAATTCTCCTGGCTGAAAATTACCCTTTTTTCATTGCACAAGTGACTTTAACAATGAACATGAAAGGAAATCCTCTTATTCCATAAGTTCTTAAGGGGAAAAATCCCCATGATAAATTATTTTAAAAAAATTCATTATTTTGAGGGGATGTAACCCCAATTAAAAATGGGGACTGACTGTACCTGTGATAATTATTGCAAAGCTCGTGATGTAGGAAGATTTTGTCCCAGGCCCTGTGAAATTTTCTGGAACATTTGAGGGTTTGCAATATAAAATGCATCTCTTGACAGTCTTTTAGCTTGCCATTGTTGCTATATCACCTCTGGGCCACAAAACTCTGTTAGTATTTAACTGGGGTGATAAGACAGTGTGGACCTTCTGTTAAAGGTGGCCCTCGCTCAATGTGACTTCACTACGGTACTGTATTATGTGAAGAAACATTTGCAAATTTGCAAGTGATTGGGTTGGATGTGCAACCTTTGTAGACATGAATACACTCTACTGCGCAGTTGAGGCTCATGAGTAGAGCCTGGAAGTTTAGGCAAAATGCCATAAATGCCTATTTTTTTTTAATTTCATTTAAAAACATTGCCTTAGTTGTCAATATGACTATTTTACTTATTTTCCAATTTTTTTTATCATTCTGCTATAAGTGAAACTCCTAAGTGGTTTTTTAATTATTTAATGTCAAAATCAAACATTTCATATGGCATTGTTCTGTTGGACACCGGACGGATGTGTATGACGAGTGCAATGTGTGTGTGAATATATCCCCACACGCCACTCTGTCCTTTGTGGCCTGGACTGTAATCTTTGAGTCAGTCAGTTCTCTTTCAAACAATGCTGAACACAATTCACTTGCAATACCTAAAGTGCATGCTTCTTCAAAGCATTACAATCTAATTAGAATTTGGTAGCAATTTGTTGTCTACAGATGGGGCAGTATTGTTTTTCAAAATGTCCAAAAAATCAAATTACAGTATTACCCCGCCTAACGCGGTTTCACTTAACGCGTTTTATCAGATACGCGGTGCCTCGCCAGAGCTGAACTTTCACTTAACACGGATTTTTTCCACATATACGCGGTGAGTGTCCGGCTCGAGACGCTATTTTTAGATTTGCCCCACCCGCCACCCTGCCTGACTGCCTGTTTTAGCTCATAAAATTCATACAAATTACCCGGCCAGAATATAATTTACATTGCTGGAATTCTTATAATTTGGTGATCATTTTGAATATAAACATCATATATTTTGCATTAAACATACAATTTTTAGATAAAAATTTTTCTCTAGGTAACTATGTTATCTTTTGTGCAAAATATATGACATTTATATTCAAAATATTCCTGGTCTTACAAGGAATCCAGCAATGTCAATTATATTATCCTAACTTTAATCTGAGGTATTATTTAATACTAAATGTTAAAAACTCTGGAAGGGAGGATTGGTGGGGGGTGGGGGGGAGGGTTGGGACTGACCGCGCGGTTGGAAGAGGGGGGGAGGCAAGGTGGGGTACTTTGATTGACAGATAGTGTCGTGAAGATTTTTTTTTTTTTATTAACTGAAGATATTTGTTTTAGCTCATAAAATTCATACAAATTACCCGGTCAGAATATAATTTACATTGCTGGAATTCTTATAATTTGGTGATCATTTTGAATATAAACATCATATATTTTGCATTAAACATACAATTTTTAGATAAAATTTTTTCTCTAGGTAACTATGTTATCTTTTGTGCAAAATATATGACATTTATATTCAAAATATTCCTGGTCTTACAAGGAATCCAGCAATGTCAATTGTATTATCCTAACTTTAGTTTGAGGTATTATTTATTAAAATTTAGTGGTTTTCCCCCCAAGCAGTGTAGTGTGAGAGGGGAGGGAGTTGAGTCCATTATTTGAATGGACATTAACTTGGCGACTGTATTTCTCTATTTCTCTTAAGTATTAATTGTGTGCATGTACCATCATAAAATTAAGATGTTATTTTTACTACAACATAGGTATGTGCCTTCAAAAAGTGGAGTTTGGGGGTCGGGCCGGTTTCTATTGGAATTAATCCCATATGTTCTGTTGTTCACTTAACGCGGATTTCACTTAACGCGGGACCCTCTGGGTTCAATTGACCGCGTTAAGTGGGGTACAACTGTACAGGGTAGTTCAAGAAGTACTCTACTTTGTTTCTCAACATTTAAAAACTTTTAACCACAAAGCTGTTGAAGCTCACTAAATGGGACAACAGAGATCTGTATGTGCCTTCTTATTTCGTATACATCCTGTATTGTTCTACAGCTTCCGGTCGGCAATCTCAATTCCTCGTGGAAACTAGAAAATAAGCATCTGAAGTATTTGGGGGGAGAAACACAGGGGGGGCCCCCAAATTCGCAGGGGTTAGGTTCTCAAAATGGCTGCGAATCGCCGAATCTGTGAATAACATTTGAGGACGGGGCTTACATTTTTATTGTGTACAAAGAAATTTATATCCCTCTATGTGTTTGCCTTTTGGACAACTATTTCTTTTACCTGTAGTACTGTATGTGTGTGTGTGTGTGTGTGTGCATGTGTGTAGACATACAAACACACACACAAAACACATACAAATAAATCATAATTGGAAAGTCCTCTCACAAATAATGAGAAACAAATTTATTAAAAATGTGACAGTCTACCCTCAAGTCCGTGCTCTATTACAGTACTTTATTAATAGAACACGGACTTGAGGGTAGACTCACATTTTTTTTATGATTACTGTATTTGTGGAGGATTTTCCAATTATTATTTATTGGTGAATTTTCCAATTATTATTTATTGGTGAATTTTCCAATTATTATTTATTTGTATGTGTTTTGTGTGTGTGTGTGTGTGTGTGTGTGTACACACACACACACACCTATTTACAATACAGGTAAAGGAAATTACTGTCTCTAGAAAGAATGGCTCCTTGTCCCTGCCGCGAAAATGACGGCAACTTTAAACCTACCCACAGACATTCTTGGGTACATCCAGGGTGTCATCCGTGAATAGCCGAGAACCGCGAAATAAAAATCCACAAACTTGGGGGGGCATACTGTACACAAAAAAGAATGTACCATGTAAAGCTACATTACAAAAATTATGTGGACACCTGTAAAGGCAACCCCGCCCCATTTTCTCCTGAAGAAGCCACAAAGTTTCAATTGAGGTAACCAATAAAGATTTTTTTTTTTGCAACAAAATGATTAGTTAGCTATCATTAATTTTACTGAATTGTACAGGTATTTATATACTGTACAGTAGAACCTCGATAAATCAGACTAATTGGGGCAGACCCCAGACCGAAAAATGCGCAAGTCCGAGAAAAGCGAATATAGGGGCAGGAGAGTTGGAGATAACACTGCTAATATGAACTGTTTAAAGAAAATCAGTTGTTGTTATTACTGCACTTCAACAACTAAGGTCTTTAAGTGTATAACAAGGTTCTTAAAAGAATACAGTATTACATCAAAAAATAAAAAAATATATGATACACCTCTCTGGGTTGAAAATCAGACATGTAAGTCTGGTTGTCACCGAGATGATTGTTATTTACTGTAAAGTGTTATATGTAAGTAACCAAGGAATTTGTCTTATGAACAAAGAGAAAACTGTATACTGTACAGTAATTATAAAGATAAAAATAAGAACAAATAAGTGTCGGAGTATATTGTATGTGAAAGACGAATGTTTATCTGGGAGCAGCTGGCAGTGGGGTAGAGGGGTAGCATGGGGGGCGACTCCCTCCCCCTCTCCCACAAGACTCTTTTTAACACTTCTTTATGTAATTTCACCACAATTCTCATATAATTTAGGATCATTTGGTGCCAGGTTGATAAAACATTATCCTAAAAGAATTAACTTTCCTGAAAAAAGAATCCCACACTAAACACCATGAGTCATTTGTTTACAATGAGCAAACAGCTGATCGGCTTACCACAATGTCTGTCTTCAACACTTAGTAAATTAGTACAGTACAGTTGTGTATTTATCATCAGTTAATAAATACTATTGTAGTGTATTTATCATCACTTAATGAGTAATATTGTGGTGTACAGTATTATGTATCTGCATATACCGGTACCCTGGTTTGTTCATTAATCATTAGTCTAAATACAAGTAGCCAAACTGAGCCATCATATAATACTCAAAGGTAGTAAATAATGTTTTTAAGAAGGTATCTTCATATCAAATACTATACAGTGTGTCTTAGTGACCCCTGTTGTAAGCTGGCCTACTGAATGCTCACACGAACGCATATGAGTAAACACATTCTAATACAGCTTATCCTTTTATTTTCAAGTCATATTACAAATTACATACAGTATTGTATTTTTCTCTATTACTGAAGATGTTATATTAATCATGATGAACCATAAACCATAAGAGGCCAATCATATGAGAATATAATACTGAATCAATAAATAAATAAACCTGATGAACATGGCAACACTTGATCAGCCCCAGTCTGCATACAGTGTCTTAGTTCTCACTAAGCCTTTAGCAAATCTGATTAGACAACTGTACAGTATTTAGAAAGTGTTGTTCATTTCATCAGATTTTTCTTTTATTAAATCCCCCCCCCCCCTTTTTTTCTGTGACCAGAGCATCTCAGAGTCCGAAAAAAGTGAATTCCGATTTATTGAAGTCTGATTTATCGAGGTTTTACAACTATATTTTGTAAGTAAAATACATTTAATTCATCCCTTTCTTGGTTTTATGTTGCTTATTTTGACTGTTTGTCTTACCTAATTGCCAGCCCCCTTTTTTTTAAGATTTTAAATGCCTAAACATTCCGGCTCTAGTTCCGAGCTTTCTTGATGAGAAATGGTAAGGTCTCATCAAAACCCTGGTTCACACTAGCCCATTTGACAGCCTGTTTGACCACCCCACCTCTACTGCAAATAAGAGAAGAGCTTGTACATATAATGGGTGACCAAACATTGCATCAGGTCAGGTCAGTAACATGAGACCCCTTCCCCACCTCCATCGCAAGTGTCAAGTAAAAAATGATTACGTTATGTATTATATTCAGTGGAGTGGACAGTGGATGCCTACTGTAGGTCTCAAGATGACAGCATCTGCTGGGGAATATAGTACTGTATATGCAGCACAGTAATAATATGCATTACAGTATTTTGTTTATTTACAATATACAGTATTGTACATGTACAGAGGTGTTTCCATAAAAAAATACAGCTCCGTGCGAGATGCATAGTTTAGACTCTGGGAAAAGTTTCCTCAGTGCAGGGTGGAAAATTCCAGTCTCAGGTGTGACACAGCTCCATTTACACTTTGCATGCCTATGTCATATAGATTTGCTTTTTTTTAACCAAAATATTCACAATTATTTGGATAAAAAATGGCATTTCTAGCTTAATTTGAACCGATTTTATTGACTCTTGTATCAATATTACTTAAGTTTTTTTTTTTTGTTTTTTTTATAAAAGAATGGAGTCCCATCACTGTATTGTGTCAAAATATTTTGTTTAAGGACCTTTTACTGGAAGTCTTGTAGAGAATTTATTTGGGATCATTATGGTATCAAATTCATCTCACTGACACAATTAGAACAGATACTGTGAATAAAAGTTATTACACTTTTTGCGAGCATTAGGAGGTGGTGGAGCGAGGGAGAGAGAGTCCAGTCAGTTCCTTCCTTGAGGGTTGCCTCCCTCTCTCTCTCCCACCCAGTGCATGTCACCAACTCCTGCCTCTCACTCATTCTACTGTAACTGTCATTTATGATACAATATTGATTATTTGTTATTCATTAATTAGTAAAGATGCATTGCTCTAATAATCTGTGTAGGGTATTAGTGGGTCTCATGTTACTGACCTTACCTGATGCAATGTCAGGTCTACCCATTGTATATAAACTCTTCTCTCATTTGCAGTGGAGGTGAGGTGGAGGATTAGTGGTTTCATATTACTACCGACCTTCTGATGCATTGTCAGGTCACCCATTGTCGGGGTGGGGGATCAGAGCAAAAGCACCTCATAGTCAGAATGAAGCACTCGACATTCACTGAAACAGGGCAAGCACTTCACAGCACTTTATTCGCACGCGTGCACGCGTGCGCGCACACACACACACACACACACAAAAAATACAGGTAAAGGAAATTACTGTCTCTAGAACGAATGGCTCCCTGACCCAGCCGCAAAAATGCCGGCAACTTTAAAACTACCCATCAGACATTCTTGGGTACATTCAGGGTGTCAACCCCAAATAATAAGAGGATCACGAAATAAAAATCCGTGAACTTGGGGGACCCCTTGTACTGTACTTTGGGCCTTATCAACATCTCTAAAACTGTCTTTATCAATGCCATTAACTCTTAAGAAGTTACTCATTGTTCAACTCAATAAAAGTGCCAATAATGACAATTAACATGACTGCCTTAAGGCCCCTTCCATGAAAAGCAGAAACACTAAGAAAATGATTTTTTTGACCAGTGGCCTTGATTTGTGACCCTAAATACAAACGTTCCTGCCTTTACTTTAGAGCAATGCTATGGCAGGTGATCAAGAAAAATGGGTCAGAATATACAATGGGTAAATAGACACTGCACACACATGAAAATTAAGAGGATATTGTTTGTCCATCTTAGTAACTAACTATAAGATAATCTTTTGAGTAAAAGCCTTCATGGACAAACATAGATTCTCTAAGAAGTGAGTCAAGCATTTCATTTACACGGAAGAACCATACTGAAATCTGTTCAAAGGGAAAGAATACTTACACACTCTTGTGATGAAAAGCATTGGTTGGGATCAGCTTCAATATTCATTGTTGCCTGGTTGAAGGTGATTAAATATTCTGACAGATCAACAGCTTTGGGTGACAGTCCACATGATTCCCCTACTTTCATTTTCACAAATATTTCAAACTGCTTGGCAAGTCGTACATAGCAATGTCTACAAACCTGTAAAATAGGTATGTCACATTAATCACACACAATTTATCAGAACCTGTTTTTCAATACTCATTTTCCTCAGATATGTTCTGTTTTTAAAAATACGTGTCACCTGCAGTTGCCGAACAACTACTGTACACTGTTCAGGATGATCACAGCAGGATTTGTAACCATTTGAACTCCAATGAAGAAAATTTGAGCCAGGTGGCCTTAAACCCTTTACAAAAACCCTAAACTGTATTAACCTGAGTACAAATTGTCAAAACATGTTCAAATGTAACACACTGGAATGTTGAGCCACTATAGACACAGTGACCTTATGCTTTATTTAATGCATATCATTTTAAAATGCAGTTCTGGCCTAAATTTGTCACAAAATGGCTTATAAATTGTTCTCAATAATTTCTACTCTGCTATTTCCCTCATGATATCACCAAATTCCTTAATAATTCTCATCATTTCTATAAGCTACCTTTAGCCATTTAGTGTCATTTTCAGTCATAGCTAAAAATTCTGAACACCTTGGTGCCAAGCAGTATGCAGATTTCTAAAAAGTTACAGACTTTCCAATAATATGGGACCTACAAGATAGATTATAGTTTTCCATAAAATATAGCCTTTAAATTATATTTGTATGTAACTATTATAGATACACAAATATATGCAAAGATATATGAATAAAAATTGTAAAATCATAATTGTGAGGGTTTATTATGATGTATGAGGTTTTAAGTATGTCTGCCATCATTGTTGTTTTACAGCTATGTTCCACACTTACATGGGTTAGCCACGGTGTCCTAATGGCAGCTCTCCAAGTTGTACATTCAATTACAGACTCTCTTGTCAGGTTTGTAACTAACATTATTTCTTAAAATCTCTTCCCGTGTCATTTTTGGCTCACCTCTGGCTCGCCTCTCAACCACATTTAGGCTCCAGCAACTCTGAACCTGATTGGTCTCATCCATTCTCTCCACATGCACTAACCATATCAGCCTGCCTCTATACTGTACTCTCAATACTCAGCTGCCCTCTTAGCTCTGAACAGGGCCTCCAGTTTTTCATCATTCTCATTTCCGCTCACTCATGTCTACTCATGTCGTCCTCTTTACCTGTCCATGTTTCACTGCCAAACTCTTTAATTGACGATGTTTTACTGCCATACATCACACTTCTCACAACAGCCACATACATTCGTCCTTTACTCAGAGGGAAGGTCCTCTTGCCACCAATAAAGGCAGTAGCTCCCTAAACTTCCACCAGCCACTTCTGACACTTGCAAATGAGCAGGCTTCAGCACCTCCACCAGGAGTTATCATGTCACCCAGGTAAAAGAAATTCATCAACACAGTCCAGGGACATATCTCCAATGTGGAGTTTCTCTAGTCTTGCTGCAGGCATATTGTTACCAGCACATACAGAACACTATAAGTCGGCAACATCACAGAGTCTGGCACCTACTCCACTGCTTCTCTTGTGTACCCACCTTTCACACATGTTGCACATTACTGAGTTGCTGACAACACCTTTCTTACAGACAACACATGAAAATTTTCTACTTTCCACCAAAGGTCCATCACCCACACTATTAATAAATCCATATGTACTTTAGTTTTTGCCACATTCAGTCTCAGGTCCTTTGCCTCTTCAATATATATATACAGTCAACCCTCGCTTTACGCGGCCCCACTTTACGCGGTACCCTGCCGAAACCGGAATGCTCACTTTCGGCGGTGTGTGTACCCTTTTACGCGGAGAGCGGCGCGAGCAGGGTGCGCACAAGGTCGCCCAGTCATCAAAACATTACCGAGTTCTTCACCCGCCACCCACCACAGCCGGCCCAAGTCAGTGATAGTGATAATGATAGTGAGGATATGGACTTATATGGACTTTGAGGGGTTTGACAAAGAGGCCCTGCAAGCCTCTGTGGTGGATAGTGATACAGGTGAGGGCCAATAATCTGCCCTCTGCCTCGGAACCAACCCCCCATCCCCGTGTGCCCAGCGATCTTTTCCACTAATGTAAGTGTTAAAAAACCTAATATTATTGATATTTCTCTTAATTATTAATTGTGTGTGCATACCATCATAAAATTAAGAAGTTATTTTTACTACAACGTAGATATTGTGTCTGAAAAAGTGGAGTTTGAGGGGTCGGCCCGGTCTCTATTTCAATTAATCCCATATATATATATATATATATATATATATATATATATATATATATATATATATATATATATATATATATATATATATATATATATATATATATATATATATATATATATATATATATATATATATATATATATATATATATATATATATATATATATATATATATATATATATATATATATATATATATATATATATATATATATATATATATATATATATATATATATATATATATATATATATATATATATATATATATATATATATATATATATATATATATATATATATATATATATATGGCAGTGGAGGGGACGTTGAAGAAAGATGTTTAATGAGCGTAGCTTTGCCTCTCAATAGGGACTTCAGTTTTTTGTTGAACTGGGTGTTGACAGTGTTGAGAGGATTATTTATAAGTTTAGAATATGTTGTGGTATCACATAAGAGGTCATTCATTTTAGAGATATAGTCATCTTTGTTTAAGATCACTACTGTGTTGGCTTTATCTGCTTTAGTGACATGTAGATCCTTATTTTTCTTAAGGGCTTGGATTGCTTTGGCTCAAACCTTAAATACCCTAGATCTTTCATAGACAAATGCTTAAACATTACTAAGAAAACTTTTTATAGAACTGACCCCAAGCCCACCCATGACCATAAGAATATCTTAATATTACCATTTCACAAAAATTTCTCACACATTCCTGCACAGCTAAAAACCTGGAACGTCAATGTGGCATTTAAAAACTCATGCACTGTTAAACAAATGTTAATCAAGAACTCCCCCAACAACACAATTGGTTGCATTTATAAAGTTCCTTGCAAGGAATGTAATATGTTTTACTTAGGCCAGACAGGTAAAGATCTTGCAACTAGAATTAAACAACACAAATACAGTGTTAGGACAGGCCAGGAATCCAATGCTCTGTTTGTTCATTTGAGGGATAACAAGCATTGCATTGACTGGGATAATGCCTCCTCAATATTACCATGTAAGTCAATTGACAGTAGGAACATCATAGAATCTAGTCTTATTAAACATACCGAAGCATTCAACATGAATTTGAGTAACAGCATGTACAAGCTGGACAATTTTGTAATTAAGAAGATTTGTGATCAGGTGAGAAGGCCGGGTCACTTGACCATCTGACCTGACCACCAACCGTTGTGTGCTATTTAAAGATTAGTAGGGTCATTACCTAATACCTGACCATTGTGGACCTGGTCTCACCCTCCTCTGTATATATACACCTTGATTTGTATTACTCTCTCTAGTCTGTACTCACCCCTGAAGATGTGAATTACACGAAAGCGCTTGGGAACTTCGTGTTTTCTTCTTTCCTTGTGGTTATCAGCATATATATATATATATATATATATATATATATATATATATATATATATATATATATATATATATATATATATATATATATATATATATATATATATATATATACATATATATATATATACATATATAGAAGTATCAAATAACGGGGTAAGGAAAATTTGACTGATGCAGGTAACAATGAGGGCTCAATGAATGTACCGCAGCTCATATTTATGTTTGTAGTAGTTTGGGACAACACATAAACCTAGTTTTGGGTTAACTCAGTGAAACTGAAGCCTCAATGGTTATTGAGGCAATTATCAGTCTAGGAGTTCAAAACATTTCTTCAAACGTAGTTCTTGGGATATAAGCTGCTCAGCAGCTATCTCCAGTGATCTGTCTGGGTAGTGTAATTTGCTGCTGGAACATGGACATGGGCATGTCAGGCACTGGCATGGGTGTTATATATAGGGCTATTGTTTCCCTGTTTCCCTATTTAACACTTTACATCCTGCCTTCCCCTTTTATCCCCCCACTACAGTATATTGAGGGTAAGTTGATTTCATTCTGAACCACGACAAATGCATATATCCATAAAAACAAGCTATTCTCCAGAAACCAAAAACTATGATTACTGTACTGACCTTGCCTTCATCATGGTCCTCCTGTGAAAGTTGAAGAGCGGCAACACTGAGAGAAAGACAGACCCATCGCACTGGGACCATCAATATTGGTGGCTTGATATGATCTTCAATACTATGCCAAAAGTTCCTCTGGACATTATAATTACAGCCACATACCACACAACGACCATCTACGTACACAGAGGATGGATCAATATCTTTGTTAACTAAATTTGAACCACCAGCAAACTGTACTTCTGGAGCTTGATTATGCATGGAAGAGGAAAGTGATGCTCCTTCAGGCTGGAGGGTAGACATTGAATTAAAAATGAACTGCAAGGGTGAGGAATATGCTCCTTGATTAGGACTAGAGTGACAGCTCTGTGTAGACCATCCTGGAGTTACCAGTTGTTTGGGATGACTGGAGGGGTCACTGGAAGAGGTTTGCTGACAAATGTTTCCTTCAATTTTCACTGCTGATACGGTTTTCCCACCAAATGCTTCTTGAGGCAGCACAAACTTCAAGTCCTTCAACACTACAACAGCATTTGGCTTTTTAGATTCATTATCATCATTCCTTGGAGTCCTAGAATTAATCTTTTGGGTTGAGAGTGACTGTTTGTTAGAGTTATTTACTTCAAAGGAATCACCTCCACTATCACTCCACACATTAGTGTCCTCCCTCAAATAAGACTGACCTTTATCCTGAGAAGTAACACAGTTTTGACTGGTAACCTGCAAAAACTCTTGCTTCGAGATAGGACTATGATTGTGATCATCTACAGTATCAAAGAAATCTTGATTGGTGTCTTTGTACTCCTCATCTGCCTCAACATACTTTTGTGTAAATTTAATTTTCCTCCCACTTTTGGTTGAATAAACAGCATTCTGGCAATGTGCGTTCTGTGTTATATTAGAGGAAATCTTTTTCTTTCTCCTTGTCAAAATCTCATTATCAATATCCTCTTCTGTACCAAAGAAATTTTGGTCAGTGTTGTTGTAATCCTCCTTTCTCTCAATATATTTCTGATTTAATTTAATTTTCCTCCCACTTTTGGTAGAAAAATCTACAGTTTGGTCATTTTTCTCCTCTCTCATATTACATGAAATTACTTCCCTTGATCTTATCTTTCTCTTGTAATTATTATCCTCTCCTGCATTTTTAGTACTAAGAGCTTTACTAATTCTTTGTTTGCCATACTTAAGTCTTTTCTCCTTTCTTATCACTTCAACTTCATCACTGCATTTTCTCTTTATGCCTTTAATTTCACTAATTACAAGGTTTTCTTTTTCATATTCCCCAGTTTCTTTGTTGTGTGTCTCACAGTTCTCCACCAGTGCTTTTCCTCTCTCCTCAGGATGATTTCCCAAAACAGACTTCAAATCTTCCTTTGGCACCATGCGCACTTTTACCTTGGAGAAATTTACTTGCGATGCATTGATATTTTTTTGCCGTGCAATCTTTTGTACAACTTGAGACCTAGAATATAAAGGAGTCAAAATTTAATGTTAATAATAGTAAAATTGTTACATTTGAGTTCTGAAGTTCATTTCAGTTGTTCCCTCAAATACTATCATACAGTGCAGATTAGCCCATTAAAACTAAAGTCTTTAATTATAGTATTTATAATCCTCCTGCATGATCCAATCTCTTACTTCCTCTTACAAACTTTGTTAAAAACAGCCTTGTTCTTTACAGTTTCCTTTACCATTTTACTCAATCACAAACAGCTTCTTTTTCCCACCTAAATGTCTTTCTGCACTTCCTTACCCTACACATTTTTGTTGCCATCTCTATACAGTACCTTCTTAAAAACAAATTTAAACAAATTTAAGTTGAACATGAAGGCAAAAAGCAATTGATCTCAATGGCAAAAAAACCCAAAACACATGTACAGTTGATGACACTACATGTTATACTGCTCCATGAGTCACCTAAGTTTGAATAACTGTAGTCCAGGAAGCCATTGTTCAGACTCAGGCTGATTTATTATTTATTAAAAAAAAATTTAAAATAAGGGTATCAGTGTTTAAGTGAGAAAAAGTAGTGTCCTCAGGAATTTTTTTTTAGTGTATCTTTGGGATTGCTATTGCATGATTTTTTTTTTTCCGTTCCAACTCACATTTTTCATCTTAAACATGGCTTTCTATAGCTTTTTTTGTGTTTTTTTAATGCTAATTTGCACATCATGACACTATTTTTAATTAAGAATGTAACTCTTGTGTTTAGCATTGAATACCTGTACTTTTGAATTCTTACAAATTAGCTGAAATTTATATTAGCTTATTCGACACTACACTCAACTCATTTTCATTTACTGAGTTAGTTGAGCATCTCCAACTGCTCTTCCTCTCTACACCAGTCTTCCCACAATCCTTCTTAGTAAACAAAGGTCTCATATTTCAAAATTCATTCATAATTCTTCATAAAGCCTTACAAAATATCAACAAGGATCATACTATAAAATCACTGATTAGTCAAACTTTACTATATATACATCTGCATTTATATTTATCAAACCATATTAACAGAGAACAACAAAGTCACTTGCAAAGTCACCTCTAGAAATTTTAATTCTACAGAAAAATACTTACCGGAATCCTACAGACACCATGCCATAACAGGATAGACAAACTTGGCGTGCATCACGAGCCTCTTTACTGGTATGGGCAAGTGAAGTCTCCAGCAGCTGCAATAAATTTAAATCCACATAAATTTACAAATGAAATGAAAAATATATAAATAAAGTAAAAATCTCTCTCTCTCTCTCTCTCTCTCTCTCTCTCTCTCTCTCTCTCTCAAAGAGCCTGCCTTCTCCAGGGAGCTGTAGGGACACTACACATTCAAATCAATCACTCCATAAACAACTAGTCACTCAATTAATCAAAAAATTTATTAAAAATATTTAGTCTACCCTCAAGTCCACTCCGTGCTTTGTTATTAATAAAGCACGGAGTGGACTTGAGGGTAGACTCAACATTTTTAATATTTTTTTTCTGATTATTTGTGAGAGGATTTTCCCATTATTATTTATTTGTATGTGTGTCTACACACACACATACAGTACAGTTAACCCTCACTTTACGCGATTAATGTAACCCGGAGGGTACCGCGGAAAGCGAGAAACGCGTAAAGTGAATAACATAACATATGGGATTAATTGAAATGGAGTCCAGGCCGATCCCCAAACTCCACTTTTTGACGACACATAACTATGTTGTAGTAAAAATAACATCTTAATTTTATGATGGTACATGCACACAATTAATAGTTAAGAGAAATAGAGAAATACAGTCGCCAAGTTAATGTCCATTCAAATAATGGACATGACTCCCTCCCCCTCTTCTCACACTACACTGCTGGCTCTTCCCTCTGAGAAATTTTGGGGGGAAAACCAGGTATAGTAATAAATAATACCTCAAACTAAAGTTAGGATAATATAATTGACATTGCTGGATTCCTTATAAGACCAGGAATATTTTGAATATAAATGTCATATATTTTTCACAAAAGATAACATATTTACTCAGATTAAACATTACATCTAAAATTTGTATGTCTAATGCAAAATCTATGATGTTTATATTCAAAATGATCATCAAATTGTAAGAATTCCAGTAATGTAAATTATATTCTGGCCGGGTAATTTGTATGAATTTTATGAGCTAAAACAAATATCTTCAGTTAATAAAAAAAAAAATATTCTTCACGACACTATCTGTCAATCAAAGTACCCCACCTTGCCTCCCCCCCTCTTCCAACCGTGGGGTCAGTCCCAATCCTCCCCCCCACCCCCCACCAATCCTCCCTTCAAGAGAAAGAGTGGGTGAAAAAAATAAATTGTAACATTTTGTATTAAATAATACCTCAGATTAAAGTTAGGATAATATAATTGACATTGCTGGATTCCTTGTAAGACCAGGAATATTTTGAATATAAACGTCATATATTTTGCACAAAAGATAACATACTTACTCAGTGAACATTATATCTAAAAATTTTATGTCTAATGCAAAATATATGATGTTTATATTCAAAATGATCATCAAATTGTAAGAATTCCAGCAATGTAAATTATATTCTGGCTGGGTAATTTGTATGAATTTTATGAGCTAAAATAAAAATCTTCAGTTAATAAAAAAAAAAATATTCTTCACACGGTAACAGATGGTCGGTCGCCGGTCCCTCCCTCCCTCCCCCCCACCAACGTCCCTACTAGATAAATGTGTGGGAATACCAGACTGTTTACCTTTTTAGTAATAAATAATAAATCAGACTAAAGTTAGGATAATATAATTGACATTGCTGGATTCCTTGTAAGACCAGGAATATTTTGAATATAAATATCATATATTTTGCACAAAAGATAACATATTTACTCAAGAGTAAACATTATACTGTATCTAAAATTTGTATGTCTAATGCAAAATCTATGATGTTTATATTCAAAATGATCATCAAATTTTAAGAATTCCAGCAATGTAAATTATATTCTGGCCGGATAATTTGTATGAATTTTATGAGCTAAATAAAAAAATTATACTTCACCCGTGTAAAGGGGTACACCCACCGCGGAATGTGAGCATCCTGGGTTCTGGCAGGACACCGCGTAAACGTGGAAACGCGGAATGTGGGATCGCGTAAAGTGAGGGTTGACTGTACTGTATATACAATACTGTACATATATACAATCAGAAAGAAATTTATTAAAAAAATTGAGTGTACCCTCAACTCCACTCCGTGCTTTGTTATTAATAAAGCACGAAGTGCACTTGAGGGTAGACTCAGCAATTTTAATAAATTGTTTTCCGACTATTTGTGAGAGGATTTTCCCATTATTAGTTATTTGCGCGCACGCGCGCACGCACAATAAACTGCATTGCATACTAAAAGCTTTTCAAATTGCAGGGAAGACAAGATGGATTTAATTAAGTCCAGGAAATAAAACTCACTTACCTTCAATGCCATGGTGACAGTAATGCTTTCAAACCCAGACAGTGGGCTTGTGAGGGTGTGCCACCAATCCTGAGGTTTTCCAGTGAAACTTATTCCACAAATGTTACAAATGCCAATGTGTGTTAACACTTGGTTTGATGTAAGAGTTTCAGTCTTGCTATCGTCTTTTGCTTCTTGTATATTGGCTACCTGTGTTAGTGAACATGTTTCTGGTTGCCTCTTGTCATCACTAAGGTTCACAGACAAGTGATGGTGTAATCTTCTCGGCAATAATACATTTTTTTTCTTCCGTGGTGTATGAGACGCATCATTCATGTTTTCTTCCCCAGATTCTTTGTCTCCGTTGACTCCTGCCACTCTATCATCATCTGATTCTGGTGAGCTCATAATGTCCATATCAATAAAATAGTTGCCATGTTCATCCTGTGATACATTTAATCCACTGTCTTCCTCCTCAGCTTCAGTTTCAAATCCTTGGTCATCACACTGTTCACCATCTGGTGCACTCTCACATGAAACCAGATGCTCCTTGTCAATATTGTCAGGTACCACCTTTTTACTAGTCACAGGTTCACTGATGTCATCATTTTCTCGAAGCCTCGAATCCACATTGTTGGCATCATCAGACATTCTCTTGGTCATGCAATCACTTGTTAAGATCTTATAGCATTCAGCCAATGCAGGAGGAAGTAGCTTTGCCTGAAATAGAAAATAAAATTTGAAAATTACCTGTATAGAAAATTGTGACAGCATTAAATACATACAATGAAGGTCTATCAGAAAATGACAACTGTTTCACTACTTTAAATCGTTAAAAACAACAAGCTTTCAAAATACTCCTTCCAGTTTCTACAATTGCACTTGATAATGTATCTTTAGGGAATCACAAAGGAGATTATCAATTTGAAAATGTCTAATTATATACATTCTTGATTTCAAGAATTTTTAAGAAATTTGTAAACATAATACTGTATACAGGTAGATATACTGTATATTGTTATGATAGTCCCTGGATAAATCCCTCATCCCCAGAATTGTCCAGGGCAACAGAAAAATGCTCTTGGAAGTTACAGAAATTGTGCATTATACCATCTCTCGAACCTGGAAAAATATCCACCATTCCTGAAATTTTCCGGGTACCGGAAAAATTTTCTCAAATTTTCTGGAAAATATGCCTAATTTTCATCTCTCAAACCCGAAAAAATCACCCACTCATGGATTTTTTCGGAATTTTCCAGAAAATGTGCCCCTCGGAAATTCATTCCCGACGCTGGAATTTTCTGGAAAATTCAGGCTTTGGAAACGATTTTCTGAGAAAATTCCAATTCCAGCCATCAGAGAGTTCTGGTTAAGAGGGATTCCAGCTAACGGAGATATTACTATTATTTTTACTTATTCCTCACATTTACTGGTAGTACACTGTGTTATTTTATGTACAGTATTACCCCGCCTAACGCGGTTTCACTTAACGCGTTTTATCATATACGCGGTGCCTCGCCAGAGCTGAACTTTCACTTAACGCGGAATTTTTCATCATATACGCGGGAAGCGGCGCGGGCACGATGCGCACAAGGTCGCCCAGTCATCAAAACATTACCGAGTTCTTCACCCGCCACCCACCACAGCCGGCCCAAGTCAGTGATAGTGATAATTATAGTGAGGATATGGACTTATATGGCCTTTGAGGGGTTTGACAAAGAGGCCCTGCAAGCCTCTGTGGTGGATAGTGATACAATTGATACAAGTGATACAGGTGAGGGCCAATAATCTGCCCTCTGCCTCGGAACCAACCCCCCATCCCCGTGTGCCCAGCCATCTTTTCTACTAATGCAAGTGTTAAAAAACCTAATATTATTGATATTTCTCTTAATTATTAATTGTGTGTGCATACCATCATAAAGTTAAGATAAAATTTTTACTACAACATAGTTGTGTGTCGTCAAAAAGTGGAGTTTGGGGGTCGGGCCAGTCTCTATTGGAATTAATCCCATATGTTCTGTTGTTCACTTAACGCGGTTTTCACTTAACGCGGTACCCTGTGGGTTCAATTGACCGCGTTAAGCGGGGTACTACTGTACTGTACAAAGAACAGCTTCTTTTACATGCAGACCATCCTCTGGCCGATGTGGCACAGTTCAACTATTTAGCTTGGCAGTCACCGGGTAACAGGCAGAACCTCCCACTGGCTCGCACATGTTATAACATTCCAAGATTGTCATCATATCTTTTCATAGCAGTGATAATGCAGGAAAACCATTCGGGTAGTGACCATCATAAAACTGATCTTTAGCCCTCACATGGTGGTAAATGAGGTTAATTTTTTAACATTGTAAAACTGATCGAGCATATATAGATCCATTGTATAGCAGTCATTGCCAGTATTACCAAATGTTGCAGTGAGACTCTAAACTCTAAGATGTTATTCAAATGTGTAGTGAAACAACACCTTCCCTGCAGTGTTTTATTATTTGGACACAAAACCATCAAGCTTATCTTAAATGTACACAGTCTAACCTTTTTCTTCTCTATTTTTAATTTCTTTGTTCTTATTTTTTCACCCCCTAGGCCCCATAGTGGGTCGTTCGACTTAGGCCCGGGTGGGCTAATTCCCGTAAAAATGAAAAAAAATTAAGATCCACATTTTCACTGATTGGTAAAGAAGCCAAGAAGATTGGAGACTAAGTAAAAAATAAAATGCGACTTATTACATATTCATTGATCTTAACAAATTAATAAATAAATAAATTTAACAATCTTACAATTTCTGCAGCGTGTTCCTCGGTTGTAGCTCGGTGAATTGGATTCTGAGAGGTAGCAGTTGCAGTACCCCCATGAGATGATGATGACCCCTCAGTTGCTGTACCTTTCATGAGCTTGTTCTTGTAGGTGCGACGTATAATAAAGAAACATGGATTACACACAAAGCGCCTCCCTTTCATTTTTGTTTCAATGTGCCGAGCAAGACCCAATTGCTGAAACGATAAAAATTTATTAAATAAAATACTAATAAAAATAATTGTCATCCACTACCTAAATATCTTAAAGCGAGCCTAAAAACAATTATCAGGGAAATAACAAACACTCCAACACGCACACATTAAACAAAATTCAGACACACAATAAGATCCTGCCCAATGTGAGGATTACAGTACGTTCTTGAAACATGACACATTCCATAAATTTGCATTTGGGCAATCTTCAAAACATATGGGGAATATAGGGAATGGGATATTTGGCATTCAGATGACCCATGAAAAATAAATAAACACTGAAACAAGCATACATACGAGTACCCGTATATATAGTGATATCCCCGTTAGCCGAAACAACTGGTACAGAGCACTTCTGGGATGAGAGATTTCCGGCTAACCAACGGCTTTCTCAAACCCGGAAAAATTCCTTATCCCCAGAATCTTTTCCAGTTACTGGGAAATGTTTCCGAGTGCCTAAACTAGACATATTGTGAGGTCAGTTTCCCTCTTCCTCACTCAAGTGTGGCTAATTGAGATAGGGACATGAATTTGATACAATAATGATCCTTAATAAATTCTCTAAGAGATGTTTCTAATAAGATATCCTTTCACGAAATAATTTGATATGATATTATGATAGGAATTCCATTCTTTTATTAAAAAAACGTAAGAAATATTGATACCGGAGTCAATAAAATCAGTTCTAATTTTGTTCACACCATTTTTTTTTTTCAAAATAATCCTGAATACTTTATCTAAAAATTTGGTTTAATAAATATCTCTTAAAAAATGAAACCTCTATATGATACGAAGTGTGGTTTTATTTTTCCAAGGGTAAGCGATACAGCTCGTAGGAGCTGTAGTTATTTACGCAAGCACCACTGTACACATACAATACTTTTCATACTATAAACATAATAAGTTATACCAGCAGATCCTGTCATCTTTAGCCTAGAGTAGGCAGACACTTCACTCAGCTGACTGTAATACATAACTGTAACCACGTCTTAGCACTTGTGATGGAGATTGGGTGGAAGATTTTTGGGTCATGCTACTAACCAGACCTATTGTAATATCAGATCACCCATTGTTGGGTGGGGGATTAGCGGGTCTTATGACCTGAAGATGTTTTGAATGACATTACTTTTTTTACCTATGAGGTACTGTTTTTTACTGTATATACATAGTACTGTACTGTAATATATATGAAGGATACAGGTAATAAGCACAGATTATTACAGTAATGTATCTTTACTAATTAATGAAAAGCGAGGCAGTACAGTACTGTAGTTGGTGACAAACAATAGGTGAGGCCACACTTTGTGGTCACTTTACCCTCCAAAGGACTCTTCTCTCCCTTCCTCACAGCATTGGTTATAAACTTCTACTTGTGTTAGAGAGATGATTTGATATCATAATGATCCTGAATAAATTCTCTATGAGATGTTTCCAATGTGATATCCTTAAATGACAAGCCAAATAATAAGAAAAAAATTATTATTTTACTGTATATGAAGGGTACTCATATTAATATGCTCAAATTATTAGTTTCTTATCCCCAAGTCTCTATGTACAGAACTAAACAAAGTTTTTTTGAAATACAGCACTCGAACATTCGATTCCATAATATCCTGACCACTGGGGCTAGTTATATAGACTTTTCCCTGTGAAAAAGCCATAATTTTGAGCAGCATACTGTACTCATTTTGTACTCAAATGTACTATGCTAAAAGGACTACAATTTTTATCTCTTGTGCTAACTATGAGATGTTTATACTCAAATTAATTGCTATCTTGCAAGGATTCCAGCAATGCAAGTTATATTTTGAAGTCAAGTCTGACATTTTGTAAGAGAAAACATTAAGCCTTATACAAAATTCATTCCACTAATCATTATCACTTACTGCCAAATGCCTCCCCTGCTGGCTGGGAGGAGGGGGGAAGGGAGGTGGGGTGTTGAAAGTCAGGGGGGATTATAAAAGGCAGGGAGTTTATGTTTTTCACTTATAATATGTCACTGACTTGACTTAAACGAATATAACTTGCATTCTTGCAAGATAGCTATTAATTTGAGGATAAACATTCCATAGTTTGTACTAAATATAAAAATGTTAGTAATTAACTTAGTACATTTGAGTACAGGTTGTGATAATTTATGCAGGTGCTCAGCAGTTGTGGTTGCAGTTGTGAAGGTTCATGACATCACTAGTGTATAACGCATCTCCACATGCCCTGGTTTATTCACTGATCAGTTGTCTAAGTGCAAAAGTAGCCAAATTGAGCTATCATGTATCAATTAATTTTAAAATAGAAATTATAAGGTAAAATATTATAAGACAATAGTTTAGTAGTGCTGTTAATGTGTGTGCTGTGTAAGTGTCTTAGCATGTCATCTCACCACCTGACCCTGTCATCTAAACACCTGACCCCATCACCTCACCCTTTGCCTCGTTAGCTCAGCTCGGAATTACATTGATTTATTACTGTATTATTTTACCTTTTTAGTATTGTATGTACATGTAAAGAAATATTTAAATTTGAACAGTACAGTAATTATAAATAGACCCAGAGCAGAAAAATCCAGCGTTACCCAAGCGGTTGGTCTTCCCACCCACGCACCAACCATGTGAGGATGCGGCTAAACAAAATGCAGTCTTGTCCTCAGGCCCTGAGCAGAAAGGTTTGGAGTGATTTTCACATAATTTTCTTAGATTTTCCGGTAATTGCACATTATTTCATAATTGATATTTGCTCCCAGGCCCAGAAATAAAAATTTGGACAGATTTTCCAGATTTTTTTTAAATTTTCAGAAAATGCTCCTGATTTTCAACCTTGGAATCTGTTCTCAAACCCAGAATTCAGGGAATTTTTCAGAAAAATTCTGAGAAAATTTCAATTCCGGCTACCGGTATTGGAGAATTCTGGGTTTGAGGGATTCCGGCTAACAGAGATATTACTACTGTCCTGTACTGCAGGTCCTCGTTATACAATGTACCGATATATACAGTAAAACCTTGATAAATCGGGTTTCAATATATCAAAATTCCCTTTTTTCAGACTCTCCAAGGTGCTCCAGACTGCCCCTCTATTTATCATAAATATTTTTAAAAGTCCGGAAAATTGTGCATCAGTCCGGACGGTTTGTGTTCATTATGAGTGGGTGTCACGCGACACGTGCCTCAGTCTGAGTCTGTCATTCATACGTATCACCAGTGCACTGCACCTCGCTACCTACTGTACACTCATTTACATGAACTTTTAGTGGTTTACTACAAACATTTTTGTGTTGCGATGGCTTCCCTTACCCATCAACATCTTGTATCTCAACAGTAATACAGGTATTCAGTTTGTACAGTTAACATTAAGTATAGTTTGCTAAGTGAAAAGAACCACATACAGTACCTCTATTGTATAAGTTGTAAATAGAAAATGATTACTATCCAGTTTAAAATTTAAGTGCCAGACAATTAACATCTACTTCCACTATTGAGTCTACCATCTACAGCATCTAATACGGTAAATATAAACACCTTTGTCAGTTTAATATATTTTGTTCTGTTTAACCCACAAATGATTGATTGTGGTAATGACATCCTTGGCAACATAACAGCTTAGGTCATATATTGCCAAATTAAAATAAAGGCTTAAAAGACTAAAATAAAAAAATGCAACATAAAAACATGAGCAATAAATAACAGAGAACTTTTGTAAAAAAAAAAAAAAAATTTCAACATTAATAAGATAAAAATCAAAGCTACCCACTCCCCCTACCAGCAACAAAGAGAGATGGTAAGACCTGTCTCCCCCCCCAGCACTGGGAGAGGAGCTTACTACAAAGATCTCACAGACTGGGGCACTACACCAGGTGTTGAACAGTCAATGGGACCAGGCAATTACTACAATTTACTTGAGGGCAAGTAAAATACCCGATAGCTCTGCCATAAATATAGTTGCCTTAGTGGAGAGACTACCATCCCGACAGAATTCTGGAAGGACCACCCCCCCCCCTCCCTGCATCCAACTGAGAGCCGTCGATGTAAACAGGGATAATTCCTCTGTGAGAGGAGTCATGCTCAAAAAAAGAAAATGAACCACACATGGAAGGGGGTAAGCCCTTCCTTTTGTTAAAATACAGGTTGACAATCCTTTATCCGAAATCATTGGGGCCAGAGGCATTTCGGTTTTCGGACTTTTTCGGTTTTCAGAATGGTTGGATTTTTTTTTTTTTTTTTTTTTTTTTTTTATGTGTATTAGCCCACCCGGGCATAGATCACTGACCCACATTGGGGCCTGGGGGTCTAAAATATAATAAAAATTATAATAATAATAATAATAATTCATAGGTCTAGGTCGTGTTTCTCACTTTTGATTTTTTTTTTCATTCTTGTATTTCTTTACTGTATTATTATTTTATTATTACAGTATTATTGTTATTATTATTATTAATTTTATTATTATATTTTATAATTATTATTATTATTATTATTATTATTATTATTATTATTATTATTGTAATCATTATTATTTTATTTTGGTGTATTTTTAAAATTTTTATTTACTATGAATAATTATTTTTATTATAATTATTATTACTATTACATTTTGCCCCCCAGGCCCCGATGTGGGTCAGTGATCTGTGCCTGGGTGGGCTAATAATCCCTGTTAAAAAAAAAAAAAAAAAAAAAAAAAAACTTTCGGTTTTTAGAGCTTTTCGGTTTTCGGAATTTCGGATAAAGGGTTGTGAACCTGTACTGACAAAGTTGAACTTCAGTGAGAATCCACATTGCAGCACTAGGGAACTGCATGGGGCATATTTGAACAGGAGTAAGATAAAGAATACTCAAAACCTCCTTTACCCTGAAGCCAAAAGGTCATGGGAAGCTTGGATGCTGAGTGTAGTGTGGGGACGTAATCTCGTCAACTATACAAGTGTTGATTGTGGAAGGTGGTGAAGGCGAAACCAACACTGGACCTGGAGATACTGACATCGAAAATCAAAGGGTGGCTCATCTGCATTAACTAGTAGGCTTGGGATTGGTGAAGACCTGAAAGCACTGGTCACCAGGTGCACCCCAGCATGATGAATAGAGTTCAGTATATTGAGTCTAGTCTCAGTGGCTGAGGAGTACACCTCACACACATAATCCAGTTTGGGTCTAACTAGCATGTGGTAAAGGTGTAGCAGAGTTCCTCGGTCAGCACCCCATGATGTGTGCCCCAAGACTCTCAATAACTTGAGAGTACACTGGCAAGGCTCTTTGAGGTAACGAACATGTGGCTGCCACGTAAGCGGGTTGTCGAAGATAATGACAAAAGAATTGGTGCAGAGCTCTTCCGAGAATGAGAGATTTTTGGGTAACATAATGACTCTCCCAAACCCTGAAAAAAATACAAATCCACATTTTTCTGGGTAATAGGAAAAGTTTCTGAGAGTCTAAACTATGCGCCTCACATGGACACACACTGTCCCACATCCCCGGAATGTCTCTGGGTGCTGGAGTAACTTTTCTGAGTCTAAACTATGCATCTCATCATTTCACCTTGCATGGACAAACACTCTCCCCCATTACATTTAGATCGTGGGCATGAGAAAAAATATTTACAGGTAGCAAAAAAGTGTATAAGCTTTTATTCACAACATTGTTCTAATTGTGGTAGAGAGATGAATTTGGGTACAATAATGATCCAGAATAAATTCTCTACAAGATTGTTTGAATAAAAGATCCTTAAACAAAATATTTTAACAAAATATAATGATGGGACTCAAATAGTTTATGAAAATACCTGTACATAAGAAGTGTTGATAACAATCTATAATATTAGTAGCCAGCCCTCTCACCACATCACCTAAATAGCCACCCCTCTCACCACATCACTTCAATACCCACCCCTCTCACCACATCACTTCAATACCCACTGCTCTTACCACATCACCTCAATACTCACCCCTTTTACCACCCCTCTTACCACATCACCTCAATACTCACCCCTTTTACCACCCCTCTCACCAAAACAATTATTGTCCTACACACCACCACCACCACCTTTGCTGCCCCCACACACACACACACACACACACACACACACACACACACACACACACTACCTCAATCCTCACCCCAACATACACGAAAAAAGTACAAATCGAGGGATAACAAATATCATGGTAATAATTATGACTAGTGAGATATAAGAGTGTTCCAACATTGACACAGAGCAGCAGCTCATAAGGATGTACCATATATGTCCTCTGGTGCACTTAATTTGTGTTCTAGGATGTACAAGGTATGTCCTCTGACTGTAAGGGTTAATAAAATTCAAGAGAAAAAAAAGTCCTTAAATTTCTTAGTTAGTTCCCAGGATCATGTTCTTGTTGTGGTTTCTTTTACTACGTATCAATGACTCCACAGAACTGAGGACCTCTTATGTGTTTATATAAAGGATCTTCCAATTATAATTTTTTTCACACTGCTGTATTTATTATAAAACTGTATATTGATGAATCTTATGAAAGGCAAATGGGAGATTGATTGATTGATTGATTGACTGATCGATTGATTGACTTATTGATTGATTGACTGATTGATTGTGGCAATTACAACCTGGAGACGGAACAGCTTAGGTCATATGTCACCAATTTAAAATAAAAGCTTAGCTGACCAAAATCAAATAATGTAAGGTAAGATACATAAATAATACATAGCATAAAATTTTCGTAAAAAACATTTAAACATTAATAGATAAAACTCCATGCTAGTGTAGAAGGCCAGCCTCCTCCACGAAGGAGAGGACATCCCCTCCCACGCTACCCACTCCTTCCCCCAGCACCAAAGAGACAGAGTAAGACCCCTCCCCTCCCCCAAAGTGGAAAATACACCTACCAATTTACAATCAGCTTACACTTATATCTTCAGCAGCAGTTAATGGAAAAGAAGATGAACATGCAGAGATTAGGAAAGAAGGGGAAGAACAAGACAAAAGAGGCTAAGGAAATTTTAATACAAGATGAAATAGCGTATAACATAATCCCAATAAACATACCTCCATCACCTGTGCAACATCCAACTCATCACTGACACTCTTCTTGAGGGGGAAGCGTTGGTAGCCTCTGTCTCCACTCTCAAAGTTGTTATCACACATAACACAGTGTGTGTTGTGGTGTGCATTACTTGCCCGCTTTAGCTCTAACTGTTTAGTCTTAGAGAGTTTTAGTCTTGTGGTCTTAACTGGTATGGGCTGAGCTATAGGCTTCTTCTGGTTTTGCACTCGTTGCTTTTTCTTCTGCCGAGTTCTGTGTTGTTTTTTAACTTGCTTTTGCTTAGCCTTTTCTACCTTCTGCTTATTTTCATCCTCTAGGTATCTGAAGACAGCAAAAACATCATTAATTACATAAACCTTCCAGTGAGTATTTACTTAACACCCCTTAAAATGTAAAATAGTTAACCCAATTATTCACACATCGAAGGGTGAATTAAAATTAACAAATAAGGAGTTGACCATTTAGGTGACAAACTGGCTGGATGGAACTGGAATCTGATTTCAGTATGTTGTTTAATGTAAAGTTATAGTAATGTGTATATATTAACTAAATGTACAAACAATATGTATCATAAACCACTTTAAACTTTCTCATATTTCTTTGTACAGAAGTAGTTAGCCCTCATTTACCTACAGTATACTATACAAAGTCATTTCAAATCATATTATCCTGGCACCTAAAAATCAAACAAATGAACTTTTAATGATAAAAATCACTCTTAAATCTGTAGTTGTTGGTTGTAACAAAATCTATTAATTTAAGTAAAATTTATCTACTTTCTGACATACAAACAAAAGAATAAAAATATGTGGTAACTTTGCAGTCAATACAAACGTTTTCTTGCATTTGTTTTGTTTGCACACTGTATATTACAGGTTGACAATCCTTTATCCGAAATCCTTGGGGCCAGAGGCATTTCCGAATTTTTTGGTTTTCAGAATGGTTAGTTTTTTTTTTTCTTTTCTTTTTATGTGTATTAGCCCACCCGGGCATAGATCACTGGCCCACATTGGGGCCTGGGGGAGGGGATGGGGGGGTAGGGGGGAATATAATAAAAATTATTATAATAATAATTCATAGGTCTAGGTCGTGTTTCTCACTTTTGATATTTTTTTCATTCTTGTATTTCTTTATTATTATTATTTTATTATTACAGTATTATTGTTATTATTATTAATATATTTTACTATTTTATTTTGGTGTATTCTTATTAAAATTTTTATTTACTATGAATAATTATTATTACATTTTTGCCCCCCAGGCCCCGATGTGGGTCAGTGATCTATGCCTGGGTGTGCTAATCCCGGTTAAAAAAAAAATTCGGTTTTCAGAGCTTTTCAGTTAAAGGGTTGTCAACCTGTAATACAATAATACAGGATATTCACACACACACACACCCACACACACACACACACCCACACCCACAAACACATGGACTACTTTACATGCATGTTGAACATCAAGTTGCATATACAGTAATATAAAAAAAATTAATTTCTCACAGAAAGCAATACAGTATAATTGAATGAAGTATGAAATTTCATATAATGGCTGAGGGAAGGAAATGAGGGACCTGTGAGAATTACCACCACCAAAATACCCCCAAATAGAGCTTATCCTTGTAATGCTTAGTAGAATGATGCATAAAGGAGCAAAATCATTAATGAACATAATATAAACTCCATAGGAGCATGATATTAAAAAACATAATATAAAACATAAAGGAGCATGATATAAATCAATAAAGAGCTATCACATCCAGATTAGATAATCCCCAAGGCAGGATACCCATGTACCGGTAAACATTTGATGAGGCACTTTCCTGGAATGCCTCACCAACGAAGCAGACCCCTCATCATCAATATGAGTCCTTCTCATGTGGTATACAATTATGTTGTAAACTGTAATACTGTAAAACCATAAGGAGTAGCATCAACTCAGTGGAGGGTGGGGTTGCACCTGGAACCATATCACAAGCTAACCATCTACAGGTTACCCCGAGTTATGGTGTCTCGCGTAACAATCATTTCCTTAAACAATGTACAGTACAGTAGTCATATTGTACTGAACTTATACTCCCATCCCCACTTTACAATTTGTCACTACTGGTTTAATGATCACCTCTACGATAGCGAGCTGACTAATGGAGACAAGGAATGAGTAAATAATTCTTATGACACTACATTTTCTCACTTTAACATTAATCCTATCATTTCAAAAGACTGACAAAAGTTTAAACTTCAGACCTGAAGCTTCAAAACTCTGACTCAACTGGATGAGCAGCTTCTAGCATCATTTATATATTACATTGTTCACATGGGTGCTTTATTATGCCATTACTGTATATATAAAGTACTGTACTATACATTTAAGGCCTATTAGCAAAAGCAGGCTTTACCAGAGGATATTTTATGGTAGTTGAGAACAAAGACCACAAAAAACAATAATCTTACCTGCCATACTCGCCAACTATGGCTTCATCACAATCCCAACAGATGTAGCGATCATTCTTAGCAGTTTCTGGAAGACGCGTAAGCTCCAGGGCCCGCAGTGCAGTTATTACCTCAACGTTAAACTCGCCTGAACCAAGTTTTTTGTATAATGGTTTGCCTTCAACCGCTTCCCCACAAACCACACACTCATCAGCCATTGTGTTTGCCTTCTCAGTTAATCAACCCTTTATTGCAGATCAAAGAAATGCAGATTTTTTTTCAGAAAGATTTGTTGTTAGCGTTGAAACATAACTTGCATCTGTGGAGACAAATTGCTTTATTAAAAATACCATAAATCTAGCTCTATATAAAATAATGTAATAAACAAGATACTGCCTTAAGGTAGGTACTACTGATGTAAATATAAAGCATTGAGTCTGAAATCCCACATTCAGATTGAGTCTGCAACTAGGCAAATTAAGTATACTGTACAGTACTGGACAAGATATTTTTAATTTTCGATTTAACTTAAGAAAGAACAGGTTCACAGGATACACCGTTTACTTCTTATTTACGTGACTAAATCCCGCCAATCAGCGAAAGTCACGATGTCACGTGATGTTCATGCACATGCTCAGGGTTTTGAATTTGACTTGATCAATCACAAGATGGCTTCTCTGTGTGAAGGCTGCTATTTCTCAGAATTGAAAACTAATCAATGTGTTTTAGTAAATATTGCCACTGCAACTGACATTTCAAGCCCTAAGGTTTTCTGCAAACTTCTATAAAGTATTGAAAGTGTGGTGCAGACTACCATTATCGTGAAGATAAATACGTTTTTTTTTCATGAAACGACACAAATACGTTTAGACAAAGTTTAGGTTTGGTTAGGTTATGTTTGGCCAGTTTTTGTGTGATTTTACCCTACAATTCCCCTCTATGGTGAAGATTCATTTAGGTCAAACAAGAATCTAAATAAAGAAGTCAGGGAAAGCATTTTGAAAGTGTTACTCAGAAGCTGGAGGGACAATGGCAAGCGCAGCGAGCCCATACAGCTTTGTTTGGTGTTCTTTTTAGTATTTAACCCAACATTTCCCTCTACCTGCACTTCAAAGCCCTGCACAATTTTAACAACCGATATTGTTGATATCAGTTTAAAATACTGAAAAAATATAAATTTGTGACGGAAACATATAATTTTTTTTTTTTTGCTCTTTCTCCCTATGTAAATAGATATATCAAATTTCTTGTTCAACCTAAAATGGACCTTTACCCCCTCTTCTTCAAAGCCCTACTCACTGTGTGCAAACATGAGTGTTAATATTTCGGGGGGGGGGGGGTTATATCTCCACAACGGCTCATTTCTGACAAATGTGCATAAGATTTTATTGAAGCACATTGATAAAAATATTAAAATACCTTTTCTTTATTAGGCAAAAGATGCAGGTACATCAGCTGTATGCAAAAGGTCGATGTCTATTGGTACAGCAGCATAAAGCACATGCATGGTGGGTAGACGATGCAATGATAGTTACAAAGAGTGCCTTTTTTCTGAGTAACCTAACCCAACTCAACTTAACCTACCCTAACCAAACCTAGCCTATAACCTAACCATACCATTAACAACACAGTTCAATACCGCTGCCATACCTGTATCCACTAAATTTTTATTAATTTCCGTAGTTGTACTCTACCGAATCTTTACCAAATTATCTTCTATAAAAAAAAATCATATAAAGTTACGAGTTAACCCACACCCATTTCAGAGCATCATATTACCAAATACTGGGATAAAAACTCAAATCAATTATGCAGTGGATATTTTGCCGTGACCAGCTAAGTTCCTAATAACGCTACTTTACGTGTCCAACGAATTACCCAAAAGTACCCAAATGTACCCAAAAGTATATTAAATCAGGGTAAAATCTTAACTAATATCTGTTATACATACACAAAACATGTCTAATAATATTTTTAGTGTAATTTTGTAAAAATAATTTGTAAGATGAAATAATAAACAGCGAAAAACTTTCAGTATTGGCGAACGCTAAATTCCAAAGAGTTCGTGAACAAGGGAGATAACTCAGATCCATCGTGATGCACTTCGCTAACCTAACCTAACGAAAAGTAAATCGTACAGCTGTTAAATACCCCAACGTAACAGAAACATCGGTAATTATATCTCCATTTTGGATAGGTGACTCTTTGGAATTTAGCATTTTTTGCTGTTTATTATTTCATTATTTTGACTACATTTCAATGAAAACATTATTAATCAGGTTTTATTGATGTAAAACATATATTCGTTAAGATTTTACCCTGATTTAATATACTTTTGGGCACTTCGTTGGACCGCTACTTTACTGTGAGTGTGCTCCGATTGGCTAATCGCCCATTACCAGTGAAAAAAATGGCAAAATAACTGCAGCATTCACTTTTTCTAAAGATGTTGTTTGGATGATAATTGGAAAATAGAAACGACAATGCACAGGTAAGGCGGTGAGGTGATTTGAGGTTAGGTAAGGTTCTAATAGGTTCTGTGCATTATCATTATGATTTGATTAGCCAATCAAAGTGCACTCATAGTAAAATAGCGTTAGCAGGAACTTAGCCGGTCATGGCAAAATATCCACTGGCAATCAATCTTACAATACAGTATTTCATGTCCAATTTTCAATTACTGTACTGCATTATGCCATGGGACCCAGTCATATAAATCAAACCTAAGTTTGATTCTGAAACATTTTTTTTACCATGAGACTTACACTTTAATAATTTAACATTCATTTTTAAAAGTTAACTTCACTTCTGTACAATTAATTATCAAGCTAATCTTCACTCAGTTAACTTTTTACAATATAATACTCCCTGTCACCCAATATCATAACTAGTGAGGAATATTCTCAATCACGGGTTTCTTGTCAACAAAACACTAAATACTTAACAAGTTATTTTCGGTTTCCTAGATCAATCCCAGCCAGCAGTTACCACACCACAACCAGCACTTTTCACTACAATACATGTACTGGCGACTTGTGAGGCCATACCACTCTATACCTCCCTAACATGGCCTCGAACATGATGCAACATTAAAACTCAGCGTCTGCGCTCAGTCTAGTAGACATAATGCAGCCAGAAACCTTCGTCCATGTTGGAATCCCATGTTGCCTCTGTGGGTCCCCCAACTATGGCTACCTCCCTTTACATGCCATGACAGGAGATCTACTGTAATCCATACACGAGGGTAATAATTCGGGCACTAATGAAACATAATGGCAAGTCTACATAGCCTACTTACTATTACAATAGTAGAGAGAGTTGAAGAGGCGAGACTGTGCGTCACACATAACACGTCTCGCAATAACAAGGTAGCCGCCAATACTGTTTAGTTGCCACCCACCACCAAGTTCTTGCACTTTCTCAATAATTTTCTTAAATTACGTCTTACGTTGTGCATTCTAAGAGTAAGAGAAGTAACGTACAATACAAATGCAGAATTTGTACGTTATCAGACAGTACAATGGTGGAACCCATTGAGTATACACACTTTTTGCTAAACCTCCCATTATCCCAGATCACAAACAACGTTCATTACGTTTGAGCTTCGGTGGATACAAATCACAGAAATAGACTACATTTAGCAATCTTTCAGATAATTATAAACAGGTTAATATTACATATCAAATAGTATTATAATTTGTCCTTGGATATTTGTAGTACGTGTTTTTCAGTTTTGAATCCTAGGCATTATTTATGTTAAAAGAAAGAATACGTACTTGAAAAAATATTAATATCGTAAGTAAATAAATATTAGCGTTATTTAAATATGTACATATAAAGAGTAAATTAGATAAGACCCCAAACAAAACATTGTTTGGGAGGTATCGTTCGCCACGGGTGAACAACACAAGCTCTCGTATTTCATTCTTGCGGATTATCAAACAAATACAAATAATTGAGTAAAATAAAAAATAGCGATCATATATCGTATTTTATTTTATGCTTTGCCACCTGTCAGCCTACTAGCCCGTCAGGCGGTCTTCCCTCTCCTGTCTATAGTACAAACTAGGCAACTAAAAACGTTCTACTTTAAGCAATCTTAGTAGTGTAGTTACCAGTTAGATGGCCTTCCTTTGAATTGAATTGAATTGAAACAGTTTATTTAGCCAAAAAAACACAGATACAGGGTGGATAATAATAACAATATTAACATGGCTGAGCCAGTTGAGAACCTGAACTCTCTTTTAGGCACCTGAATGATATATACTGTACATTTATCTCAAGGAAGTATTATGTTGTAGTGGATTTCTCCCCTACAAACACTGTTTGTCGCTGAGTAGCCGACCCCACCAATTCCCCTGTGTGTGCCTCGTGGTCTAGGTCAACCAGTGCCGCCCACGGAGCTGGGGTCAACTACTAAGCCACGCCAACCCCCGCTATTTAAGACCTGACCTCGTGGTGACCTCTCTCTTTCTACCTACACCAACCAGCCAGCAACACCTCCTCCTCCGCCGCTGCCTGGCGGCCCTCGCTCCTCCTCCGCCTGCCTGGCGGTCCTCGCTCCCGCCGGCGAGCATGGCGACCCACAGGCTGGTCCTCCTCTGAGCGTCCTCACCAACCAGCTCTCTCTACATCACGCTTGTAACCATGCTGCCTTCCCAGCACCAAGCTGCATTGTACATCCAATACAACATGTATACAGAGAGCACATTGTGAGTTTCCTTTCTCCATCCCATCCTGAGTGTGAACCAAACATCCATTACCCCACAATGTAACATTTAGTAACATCTGGAATAGTATAATAGCAGGGTGGTAAGAAGAACATCTCATAATGTTACCACGGTTATCACTTCAATATTTATTTATTTTACTTATTTTTATTTTATTGCTTTAGTTCATTTGTACGCTCTTTGGTGTATCTCAGTAACCAAACACAATTACAGTAGTCCAAGTATAAATTCTGAGACACATCGTTGAGAAATGCAAGATGCTATACTGTATCTATATTAATATATTTATAATTTTATCACTTATCACCTTATTAGCCATTCGAAGGAAACATTGTGGGTAAATATGCAGATTACAGCAACCATGGAAATTGGAGAATAATGGTTTTCTGGTGGGTTTTGATGTGATCAGTTCAAATCTGACCATTTTTGTCAGAAATCACTCGTTTGTGATTTAGGCCCCCCCCATAGCAATACTGGGGGAGAGAGTGGGAATTCGGGGTTTTGGGTGGGGGAGAACAAAAAAAACGAGTGATTTGTGGATTATACAATACTGTACAACAAAACTAAACCTTACATAACCACCGAACTGGGGGCTGTCCCCAGACTCCCAGTGGCCCTGTAGTGGATACTTTGTAGCGTACTGTATGTGGCCAGTTGTCAATTCTCTTTGTATGGGCACACAAACGTACGTACATGTAGATATCTCACACTCAGGAATGAGGTAGGATAGAAACTCACAATGCGCTTTCTGTATATATATTGTTGTACAGCGCAGTGCTTAGGAGTGACTAGGTGAGGAGAAACTTGCTCAGAGGTCCCGTAGGGTGAGGAGGTTTCTGAGGAAGCTGAGTGGTGAGGAGCTGAGAGATGTTGCTCGTCCAGTAGCCGAGTGTAGAATGGTCCCCCTGGCCAGGCATGGCCGTATTTATACAATTTACGAGGATCAGGATTTGGGGTGAGCGGCTTAAGCGTAAGGTGTGAAACGCTCTGATCCTGAACCAGAGGTTGAAGGTCGAGACTAGGTCGGCGATCGTACCCCTACGTCCTCTGCATAGACCTAGTCTCTCGGCGTAGCTGGCTGTACGCTGATTGGCTGGTAGGTGCGCGGCCGGAGCTCAGTTGGGAGTTGTAGGGGAGAGGAGCCACTACAACTTATAGTGGATTCCTCTCCTACAAACGCCGTGTGTCGCTGATTAGCCGACCCCCCCCCGCGAATTCCCCAGCGTACTCCTCGTGGGCAAGGTCAGGTAACCAGCGCCCCGAACAAAGCGGAGGTCTACAATCAAGCCACGCCTACCCCCGCTATATAAGACCTTACCTGGCCGTCACCTGCCCTTCTTCTACCTACAGCCACCAGCAAGCAACACCTCCTCTAAGCACGCTCCCCAACCAGCTCTCTCTACTCCACGTTTGTAACCACGCTGCCACTCCCAGCACCAAGCTGCATTGTACATCCAATATAATATGTATACAGAGAGCACATTGTGAGTTTCCTTTCTCCAACCCATCCTGAGTGTGAACCAATATCTCGTACCCCACAAATGGTGACCCCCGGAGATTTGTATTAACACAGGATGGAGGAGAAACATCTCATGTAAACCTACATGCTCTCCCTATCAACTGCTGGTTGATCACTTGCCGTCCACTTAACAGCCAATCAGCAGCGAGTTCCACAGACCGGGCCTCACTCTTGGACTGTGCGGTGATTGGCCCGTTACCGCCTTCACCTTAACCAATCAGCTGCGCCGCTCACTTCACACCTCTCTCACCTGATCCTGCAAAATCATATAAATACTCCCCAGCCTCGCCGTAAACATCACTCTACTCAACGCTCCCAAACCAACAAGACCTCTCAACAAGCTCCTCAACCAACAAGACTTCTCAACAAGTTGCTCATCACACAGCAACTCCCTAGCACTGCACTGAACATACAATATATATATATAGAAAAAGCCATTGTGGAGTAACAATAAAAATGCATGGGATAATAATAAATAGGTGAAAAGGTAAAGGACAGGCTGGGAATAATGAACAAGTGTGGTAATAATGAACCTATTTTTTATCATTACTCTACCTGTTTATTATACTGTTCACACACATCTGTTCATTATTAACCCGCCTTTCCATTATTACAAAATATGATCATTACTACCCCACCTGTTATTCATTTTTGCTCCACATGTTCATTATTACCCCATCTGTTGTTCATCATTACCCCACCTGTTGCTCAATATTTCCATACTTGTTCATTGTTACCCCCCACCAGTTGTTCTTTATTATCCCATCTGTCCATTGACCCTCAAAACTCAAGGATTTTCAAGGAGCGTACAAACTTTGCCAGAGCATGCATATTTACCAGTAGTACCTTACATGATGAAACTTGATTTTAACTAGGCTTCTTGGTATCCAGGTCTTATCTATTTCCTGGGATGCCAAAAACCAATAGTGTTCATTCAAACCTTACAACTGAAGCCCAAGGTCAGTTTGTAGCAAGGCAGCTGATCGGCTGGTGGATGGACACGGGAAAAGTCACTGCAGTTCTTTTATTATTTAATTTATTGTAGTTATATCCTGATGTTTTAAGGGATGCTAACCATTCTCTGTCTGATAATTTCTGCACTTGGGGGTAGCAAAAATTAAGCACTCACTAACATAACTTCCTGAATTCTTTGAACCTGCAAGCTTCCACTGTATACTACTTCCTTTTCATCTAAGTGAAAAACTAGTTAAGGTCTAAATTATTTTGAGAAAATCTTGAACACGACACTTTTCTTTGAATGTTGCGTGACATGTGTCTGATACGATTATCAAATATTTATATTTACAAAATCTAAAAATATCTCATTTCTTTCCCATTACAGTGGTCCCTCGGTTAACGAGCACAATCCGTTCTAGAAGGTTGCTCGTTAACCGAAAAACTCATTAACCGAAACCACTGTTTCAATGGGTTTTTGGGCAATTGGTTCCAGCTCACCGAAAATTGCCTAAATTCAACAAAAAAGGTAGAAAAGTACACTTACTTTGAGGTGTGTATGTAGAAGGCTCCTGGATGATGATGATGATGATGGGAATTAGAATGGGGGTGGAGGAGAAGGGAGAAGAGATGGCATTGGGGTGGAAGAGGAGTCACCCCATGGTGACATTTCACCCATAAAATTTTACTTCTCTTGGTGTAATTCAAAATTACTTTCTTTAAATTAACACTGCACTGCGTTATATATTGTCAATATGTAAAATAAATTTCAAAATTACCAATAATTTGCTTGCAAACACAGAAAAAAAAGAGTTTAGTTGAAGAGTTTTAAGCAAGATGTTACCTCCACTGAAAAGACACAAAGACTGACGCCTGTATGGTGAGTTGAGAGGCTGGATGGCGCACATAAAACTAGTTTCATTACCTTCAATTACATTCAATAATTGTTAAAATTACTAAAAAATTTAACATTAAACTTTTAAAATTATTGAATAGTATAAACTAATTGATATTTGCTAAAACAGTAAGGAATTTAAGCCATAGAACCGATTACTGTATTGGTGGACTAATACTACAGCTGGTGGACCGCCAAATGCAAGCGAAAACATGTTCAGGTCGGCTTGTAAGAAACTCGTTAATCAAGGGATTGCTCGTTAACCGAAGTTAAGAATCTTATGGAAGGTAACTCGTTAACCGAAATCTCGTTAACCGAGGGACCACTGTACTGTATTTAATACGAGAAGAAAAAAATCTTATTTGGTAGGATGCAAGAAACTACTTTCCATTCTGAAAATTTTATTCAAGGACTTGAAATACACCTACTTAAAATTTACAATTACAAAAAAATTGCCCAATGTAATACAGGTTAACAAAGAACATCCAACAAATCTCGTAAAGCCGGTCA